CGTTATGATTATTCTGAAGAAATTCCGAGTAAACAACTTCAAAATATGAGAATGGATCGACTTAGCTGATATTTCTATCGCTTTAATCCCGTAGGTAGCTTAAATTATTATGGAACAAAATATTATCTACAAAAACACAATATATCATTGTATTTCCTTGGCCACGTCCATTGAATATGCCAAGGAAACTCGAGGTAGCAATAAACTGGCTTTGCGTTGGCCATTCACAAATATAGCACAACTTCCTTATGAACAAAGAAGACCCATCAATTTTCACTCCACGCTGAGTCCGACTGACTATTAAATATTTCCAAACAGAATTCCTCACATAGAAGAAGTTCAGGGAAAAGGCTAACCTATCAGGGTACATATCATAATCACTTAGAAATTCCCTGGACTCCTGAACTCAACCAAATCAATAGTCAACTTCATATTCTCACCAAAATTAATAAATATATTATAAAACGAATTACCTAATTAATAAATTATTGTACAAGATGTATAATCCTGTATTGTTTATTAAATATAGTAAATATACTTTTTAAATCCTAATGGCCATTGTTCCCGATAGTTAATTTAAATAAAATACATATATACTTTAACAGTACAGTGTATGTCTATTATATCTTTCTATCATCACTAAAGATGGTCAGAATTTTTTTATTTGTTAATTTTAAACCATACGTCGAGACATGTATTTACACGAGTTATAATAATTAAAATTAAAAAAAAAAAGAATAAAAATATCTTGAAAATCTAGAATGTAAGTTTTCTATTCTGATTATAAATAAAGAACATTGAATCATGAATATTTATGTTTTGGTGATCGCTATACTAATGTAATAATTAATATAAAACGAAAAAATTCTAATATATTGAAAAATGTGATTTGTCGCATATTGCAAAATTTGATAACAATGTACTATTTATCTATTTGTTAAATAAGTTACGTGAAATTATAAAAAAAGTAATCGAATAACAGTTAATTAACATAACCCATTACCTAATAACGATTGATCATTATAATTGTAATTATTTTATTTAATCGGTTCCCATAATAACTGTAACGATCAATATTTGATCAAAACATTTTTGTACTGGTCTTTGAACACACACACGTTAAAGCAAAACTGTACATGAAATTTATTGTAACTTGTAAGTGCATATTATGAATATTATTTTCTTAAAAAAAAATTTAAAAAATAGTAACTATTATGAATCAATAAATTATTTAATGATATATATCTTATTTATTAAAGACCTCGGAATTTTGTGTAGAACATTTTAATATTAAACATAACCATTGAATGATGATAATTTATCAAAAAAATTCAAAAGTTAATTCAAACCAATTTTAATGCTTTTCAATAAGACATTCCTGAAAAAAAGACTAATTACTAATTATAGTAATTTTACTAATTCTTTTGTGAGAATTATTGTAATCTTAATATATCTTATTATTGATATCCAAACTTTTAATGGACTGCATATTATTTTTATGTCTAATTAAGTTTTAATTTTAAGTGACTACCATGCATTAAAAATCATACTTTAACTATAGTCTGTAAATAATTAGGTATAAATTATCATAACCAACATCGTATCTGTGATTTTTCTTAAGCACCAGACGATGATATTACATTTATAAACGCCTATCAACTTTAAACACATGATTCTTTATTTCATTCATTGTATACATTTGCTTGATTATGAATAAATGGAAAATTATAAAAGCTAAATAAATATTCTAACAATAAAATAACGTTTTATTGTCCTTGAAATAACATTAGATATTTAAGAAAAAAAATAAAATTAAGTAATTAAAATATAAATCTAAACATAAGTAATTTTGAATCTCAAAGTTTAAAACTTATTCATTAGTCAACTTAATAAATTTAACTGATTATAATCCTTTTTAGCAAAGATTAAAATGTTTAACTCATAATAGGCATTTAGTATAATAGTATGTATATTGTATATCTATTCAAACTTTGGTATTGTTATTTTTAATCTATATTATGTTTTTATATAATACTATTAATATTTTGTTTAGCTAAGGTGTTCAAGAACTTCTAAACACAATAAACTATTTTCTACTTAATTTAATGTTTTTTTTTCAGTATCTAACTACTTAAAACTATTACGTTTTTAAATAAAAACAACTAAAAGGGCTACGTAGTTGATTTTTTTTCACCGTAATAATGGAGAAGAGCATTCGAAAAGCCATAAAGTCGTTGAGGTCTTACAATAAATGTCTTACCGACATATACCGGCCACTTTTATCAAATATATATAGTTCTATGGTTACAATAGTAAAAGGATAGGAAATTGTGTGTAGTAAATAAACGAAAGAAAAAATAAGAAACATAGAAGTAAAACGAATTCTTCTATAGAAATATGAGACTTACACAGTTACACCTAAATTATTACTTGAATACTATAATTTAATTTCATTATTTCTACCCTAATTTTATTAAAAATCTGGTGTTTTTAATAATTCATATCAGCCTATTAAATTATTATAATGTAATAATATATTGCAAGTTAAATGTAAAAAATATATATAAATTAAATACTCTATTAAAACAATTTAAAGAATATATTAATTTATTATTTCTGCATGTCTACAAATAATATTTAATAGTTATTAAAAAAAGCCTTAAATAAAAACAGCTTATTTAACAAGTAATTTCTACAACAACGCCAATCAAGCGTGTTGAAAGTAAAATCCATATGTTTTATCATCACATTTAAAAATAATAAAAATAATAATTTTAAAACATTTTTATATATATATATATATAATTAATTTGTATACACGCATATTAATCAATTTACATCTAGGAAACATGATGACTTATAAATTATAATTATTTTAACAAAATGAAAATTTTAAGAAACAGTTTATTGATTTTACAAAAGGTAACTTTTTTCCTAGAAATTATCATTCAGAACAGTTAAAGTAATCTTAAAGTGATGTTTAACAACCCCAAAAAGATTGAATAGGTAGTGAACACAGATGGTATCTACTTAAATAAATAATTTTTACAAATCACCAACATTTTACAAACAAAATACTAACAAGCAAAATGTAATCATATTTAATTACGATTATATTATTTATATAATTTTAATTTTTAAGTTAAAATAGCTGATAGAAATTTGAAACCTCATTGAATGTAGATTTGTTTTGGTAATTTTAATACTATGATAAAAAGTTTTCTTTTTTCTTTAAATTTAATATTTTACAAATATATAAAAATCGATTTTGCTGGTTTATGATTTTCCTTACACTTGTTGCTTGTAACTACTAAGACAACGAAAATTTAATACAACGTTATGTTGACTCAATTTCCTATCTATAAAAATGTCATATGTCATTTCTCAAGAAAATCTTCTGTTGTTAACAAAAAGTAAAGAAAAATTTACAAATTAATTATGAAACTAATAATTGCTCACTTTAAAATCGAATATATTTTTATTTTAATCAGAATCTAAGAATTTGCATTTAATAATTTAATATTTACAAATTTAAAACTTAATCAAGAAATCAAAAGATTGAAATTTCTATGATTTAAGACTTAAAGTTTAAAAGTCTTGAATGAGCAATACCTTTGTGCAATTTTTATGGATGAATGTTAATCGGAAAATATGTAAATGAAAAAATTGTACAGCAAAAGTTAATATTCCGAAACTAAAAATTGTGTATATAATAAATTTTAATAGATTTTAAAATAATGAATAATGTTATTTCTTTCAACACTTAAAACTATATGAATCAATTAGTTACATTATTTGATTATATATATCAAATATATATAAACATTTAAACTGAATAAACAATTAGTTTCAGCCATTTGCAAAACAATTATGATACGATTAAGTGTTAAAAATTATACTTTTATTTCATTAGTATCATTGGAGAAACAAAATCCATGTAACAGCACAAAATTAATACAAAAATATATTTTACTCAGTGTTAACTACATTTTACAAATGTATGTAAATTGAAAAGTCAGCATTTATGTATGTATTTTAGAACGTAAATTGAGAGAAAATATTTAAATATTCTATATATACTTTTAATTTGAAATCAATAATAACAATTTATTTGATTTCATTATTTTAATTATATATTATTTTTTTTTATTTTTATTTTTTTCGATAGACATTTTGTTTCATTTTATCTTAAGTTCATATAATTATGTTAACAGCATAAATATTCAGAATATAGTTCTTCAATTAAAAATTGAAGACATAATCATATAAAATATTAGAAAATAAATTACATTTTTAAAATTTATTTTGTTATTTTTTTAATGTATTTCAGTTTTTTTAAGTATGGAACAATAAATTTTAAGTCAACTATTAAATTAAACACTAATTAATTCAATCTATTATTGAACATAATAATAGTTTAAATAAGCCAAGAAATCATAATTTCACAAAATAAGTGCGCATACTATACTTTTTATTTCAAGTCAAAAGTATCTGGTATTACTTCAAAATGTCATCATTACAAGATATTTTACGTGATATTGTTGAAATTCAAAAGCATCATTCTGCTATTCGATCTAAGACTTATTATCAAAACTCGTGTGAAAATAGTAATTACGTCTAATACGCAAATAAGTATGTGATACACACCGATCTGATAAAAAAAAAAAAAAATCGCATTGAATTAAGTTTTGAGTGGTAATTCGGCCCTGAAGATATGAAACATTACATTAAAAAAAAAAAAAAAATTAAAATTATTTCCTTAAATCGTACGCAAATAGTTTAACGGGAAAAATTTATTTCGTTTCATCAAGACGTGTTGTTTTGACTACGACTAATGTGTTACATCAAACGCGGTCTCATTATTATCAGCTGACGTATTTACGGTGTAACTACGCTACATATTATTATAATATCATGATAATATTAAAATATCTATATTATTATAATAAAACGCAACTCGGACTAACGAAAGCGGCGCAATTGTATAAAACGAAAATTACCTTTTACGCGGCGCATCATCGGAGGAGACAGTTCGCTCTCGGGTCGCCACGCGTGTGACTACGGGGCGATTTTCAACCGACACTGCCGGCGCGCACGGTGGTTGTATGCACTCGCGTGTGGTGTGTGTTTGTATTTTCTGGCAAAAACGCAACTCTATGGCTTTACACGCGGCGGCGGCGCAAACTCCACGGTGGCGCATTCTCAGAGGCTTTCAGATGGTTCCCCTCCCTCTCCGTCACACCATACGTACCCTCCCCGCCCCAACGCCGCACTAACAAGCCCCGCTGCCCGTGTGTAGGCATATAATACTGTACACTGTACAGGAGGCTCCTCTTCGTCTACCGCGATTACGGTTAGAACGCTGACTGATAAAACCTAACTGCACCATGCCTCGCACACGGGGTCGCCGACTTGCGAGGCCTGCACAAAACGTGCGACACGTTATGCATGTAGGGTGTTGCCGGGACGCGTGAGAAATGATTGAAAAACCGAAATATTATACAGAGTATGACGTAAAGTAATCAAATAATTATCCTATACAGACACGCGCCGTGTATGCGAGTACGTATTACAACCCCATCGCCGCTTAAAAAATACATAATAAATGCTTTAGTGCACTATTTACATGTCATATTTCTTACGATCGCGCGTATAGGCACCTACTAACAATATATACGCGCCACTGTCAATTTATCCGACGATTGGAAGCTGCGTCGCATAGTAGATGCTCTCGCATCGGCTAATACCTACTTGAAGTGATTCGATTTGATACAGTAGGTATTAAAAACGATCATAAATTCATCGGGCTTGGAATCACCATAGTTATTTTTTTTATAATAAACGTACAGATTTCGAGATAAGTTAACATAGAATACTATTATATTCCCCCGAAAATACCAAAAGCAAAGCTAAATTTAAATATTCTATACAGAATTGAATTCGTTTCGTTCTAAACGACTTTTGAAAATAATTAAATTAAAATGTGAGGTATAAAACTAAAAAATAACAACCAGAATTTGCATAACACAATCACTGCAGGCCACCATACACTTTTTAATTTTCTACTGAATACTTACCAACAATTTGTATTATTGCAATATCTCGTTTCGCTGCACATATTTCCAATCCTTTTAACTGAGCAAACCTCTTTTCTGAAATAGAAATCAAACTTACCCGTACGCAAATATAATTTTTGTGTTTTTACGAAGAATTTGTATTCAGCGCGCATACTACAGCCTACAAGTCAAGTCAACAGGTGAGAAAAAAAAAATGGAAACAAACGCTTTTGATTTACAGCCGTACATGATCACACATACACGACTGCCTATTGCGCACATCCATCCGCCTCGGTGCTCATCATCCCTCTACGATTGATTCAGTAAAGTGCTACGATACGTTTCTTTATTATAATATTATTGTTATTTTTTTCCTGCTTATTCCCAACCCGGCTATACAGCATAACACTCGCCATCCACGTGTATTGTTGTTTACATTCGTCATGTCGCCAATACCGTTATTGTTTGTTTATGCATCGAGTTTGTATTTGCGCTCACCTCCGCCCAATTGCGCCGAGGTTTGCACACGCTGTATAAGCTTCGGTCGTCGAACAACAGGTGTTGATCCGTTCCTTAACTCCTATCCACCGCAACGAGTCTCATCCCCGTGACACGCATGGGGTAGAGTGCAGGTGACGTACTGCATGAATATATATATATATATATATATATACACATTCTACCCACATACTATGTGTTATGTATGCACTACTTATGTACTTGTGTGTAATCGCCTACGCCGCGCAAAAGGCATCTAAAAATATCGAGATGAAAAACAAAACAGATTATCGACAGTAGATTTTTTTTCAACGTCGGGGCGTAAAATTTTTCACGTAGATTTTACACGTTTATTTTCTAGGGATGAGTATAAGTCTTACTCAAAAAAAAAAAATAATAATAATAATGATAAATAATTTAACTTAAATTTATTTTTTATCCTCGACGAAAACTTTATATTTCTTACAACTTAATTACAAAAGATAATTTTACTATCATAAAAAAGAAGTTTAAACAAAATATACTATTATGTGATTGAATTTTAAAAACAAAGATTATCCCACGGCGTTATAAATAGGCTTTTTAAGCACACCACTGTCGTGTAGTCATTTTTTGGTATGCTCGTAAAATTGAAAGTATAACAAATATAAATGCAAGGACGGATACTAATAACGATTGATTTGCAGAGTTCAATTAGATATAAAATTATAAAATAAATTATAATACATTATTTGTGTATTAGAATGAAATATTTAACATGGCATGTATTTAAAAAGATTATTCCTCAAGATATTCATGTTTTTTTTTGTCATGGATCATGCTGGTAATTTTTTGAAAAACACATTTTTTTATCAGTATAACACTATATGTTTACCAAATGGCGTTATTTCTTTAAATTAATAACATAAAGTGATAATTTTTATCTTAAATCATTATCGAAAAACTAATTTTTATAATCGAGTGTTTCATTTCCCTACCCTGTTATATAACATAAATGAGGAAGATACATAAGTAAAACAAAACTAGCAAATTTAAATTATGCCTTAATATAATAAGTACTATGTATACAAAAATTATAAATAGACTGCGATAATTATAAGTTGTAATTAAAATAATATAATTTAAATGACGATTATTAATAAATAAACATCCAACGAATACTACATACATAATGGAGCGATACTTCTTCTATTAATCTAAAATAATCTACAAAAAATTAAATGTTTATATTAATGATATTAAAGCAATAATAAACACATACCTATAATAATAAACGTCAAAAATGCAGATGCCATATGAAATTATTAATTATTATGTAACTAATACTAAATTAAATGTAATATGATGAATTGAATGAGTCACTTTATTTATTATTAATAGGTTTTTTTTTATTGAAAAGCTTATTTACAATCTATACTTAATTATTAATAATAGGTTAAAAAATAAAAAATAAGTATTACTACGGATTTTTCTGATTCTATTTTTAGACATTTTTTAAAAATCGACTAAAAACTAGATTTTATGGAGTTCTTTCATTTAAGGCCTTGGATTATATATACAGTAAATAAATTTTTAATTATAGCTAGTCCTGCAAGGTTTTTCTTGTGACAAATTAAATAATGCCAGAGAATTTATCCTGACTTAAACTCTATTAAATATAAACTATATATATTTTAACACATTTATTTGAATAGTTTTGATCAAATTTAAGTCTAAAATTATATCCAATTATTTTATTTTGTAACCAATAGCAACCCTTACAGACAAAAATATATTCAATTTCCGTTTACTGAAATAAAATTCCTATGTGAGCTCATCTTTAAAATCCCTTCTTATTGGACATCTAAAACATGATAGGAACTACTATTTCAAATTCCATTTTAATATATTTTATCGTTTTTGAAAAGAGCAGTAAGTGAATGACTGATATTATGCTTTTATTTATCAATATAGATTTATATTAAATCTATTGGACAAATAAATAGTCAAATATTTAATATTGTATACAAATATAATCACAATTAATAACGAAAAACAATACATTAAATAAAACGAGTCCATAAATACAATTAATTTAGTTTTAATGACAATTTATTATATAAGTTTACAAAATATTAAATAAAACTGTTTCATTTAATATTTTTCTCTTACTTAAAGCTTCTCTTATTATTGAATTAGTTAAGATTAAACTGAAATAATTAAATCATATACCTATTCAATTATCTGTGGCTAATGATTACAGTTATTATTATTTAACATGGAGTGAATTACGTATAAGTATACTTTATATTCATAAATCAGAATTATTCACAAAACACCTAAAAACACCTATATTACAATACATTGCATATAATATTGCTGACTGACACTTCATTAAGAGCATTGGAAAAATTTATAACTATTTAATTACATATATTATTCATAGTTATTTATTATAATCCATAATATGACCTATATTCTAAATATTTTACCAAATAAATGGATACTTAAGAAAAAATTGTATATTATGTTTCTCACTTCTATTAGAACAACCAAATACAACGCAATATAAAACTGGAATAATAAAATAGTGATCTTTAAAATATTTAAGACTTAAATTTATGTAATATTTATAATATTGTTCAAACCATTTTTAAGATAGTGGCTTGATTTGCCTCTGATTTACTTTGTTATCAAAATTATAAATTTTAGTATATTATCTGGCATAATTGAATTGGCTCCTAAGTACATGTCTTCAATATTTTTCCCTTAATATCAACCTTAGTATCTATAAATTAGCTCCCCATTTAAAAAAAAAAATGTATTGGTTACAAAAATGTTATTAATAATTCAAAGTTAGACGTTTATTTTACATCGTTACATTAAGGATTATATATATCTTAATACATCTATTTTTTTACACAACATTTTTTAGTAAATATATAATATAAAAATCCTAATGAAAAAAAATTAAAAACTAAACAATAATTGAAAAATTATAACACAGACAATATTATAGTTAAATGCGTTGTTATAAAATACTCATGTATAAATAAATAAAAACTAATTTTAGTCAAATAAAAACAGTGGCTTATTATATTTATTGGCTAATATTTTTATGTATTAAAACTTTGAATTTACACCGATGTCACATTTTCAAATTTCATTTTCTAAAAATGTTATTATTTCTCTAATTTCTTTCCGGTGTAATTTTATTATATTGGAACACCTTATAATGATTGTTGTATCAGCTTGAATACCATATAATATATTTAAAAAGTTGAATATATTTGGATGTAAAATGTGGATGATTTACTTTGATGTTTTAAATTGTCATCCATGTCAAATAATAAAATCCATTTTTTCGCATTATTAACCTGTAAAAATGTATCACCATCATACGTTTTTACATTCATGTCTTTCAAGATTAGGTTCTCACGTAGCAAATTTGGACGTAAAGATGTTCGAGCTTAAAATAAATATATTGTGTTTTATATATGTCACATCTTTGGTTGTTATTGCATTTGTATCATTCTCTCGTATATATAAATAAAATAACTTCAAAGAGTATTCAT